TCTGTTAGGGTTTGGTAGGGTTCTGTGCTAGCTGGTAGCAGTATCTGCATCACTCTTCTAACCTTGCAGCCCTCAGGAAAAAACTTGCTCCAAATTTAGCTGTGCTGCCTGCCAGGCTCTGGCAGTGATTTTGAGGGTGAGAATTTGTACTTCTTCCTCCTGGATTCTCAGGAATTCCCTTTTGCTTAAGAAGGTACCAGACTTAAGGTTTTTAAGGTTTCTAAGAACGAGTATGTCATACACATCTATTTTACAGCTTATGTCTGTAGACACAAATGGCATACGCAGATTTTAATTTGTCTGATGTACTGTTTCTTTTGCTTGGTAGCCTAAGTGTGTTGGCTTCGTGTCGATGAATAATTTTAGGTCTGAGATGAAGAAAGCCAGTAATACTAGTTTGCAGCAATGCAGCTGAACTGCTTAAAAATGAGCAAAATATGTCTTGTTAAAATATCTTTTTTTTATTATAAGCAAAACTGTTGGATGTGAGAATGAACCTGAATTGCTAATTCTAATGTAAAAATGTTTCTTTTTTTTTCCAGCTTTCGGTTTGGCTTCTGAAGATACAAAGAAAGAGGTCAGGCAGTCTAAGGTACTAATCCCAATGATCAAATCTTTTCCTCCCCCTCGAAGATTCTTTTATATTTTCTTCAGTGGGAACTGCAATCATTTCATTCTTCAATTGTTATCATTTTTTTCATTATATGAATTAATATAATGTTGGTCAACACAGATTTTGAATCCCTAACACAACCTATGGATAGACTTGCTTTTTAAAAATGCTTTAATATTTAAGGCTGACCCACTTGGTTTTAAAGTTATTTTGAGAAAAAAGATGTTTTGACATATAATTGGACATTTTAGTAGTCTTGCTGGGATACCATAGTTTCCGCCAGTCTTACCAAATATATTTTTTTTTTTTTTGGACATGGAGTTTCACTCTGTCACCCAGGCTGGAGTGCAGTGGCACGATTTTGGATCACTGCAACCTTCGCCTCATAGATTCAAGTGATTCTCTTGCCTCAGCCTCCCAACTAGCTGGGAATACAGGCGTGCACCACCAAGCCTGGCTAATTTTTGCATTATTAATAGAGATGGGGTTTCATCATGTTGCCCAGGCTGGTCTTGTACCCCTGACCTCAAATGATCCCTCCGCCTCGGCCTCCCAAAGTGCTGGGATTACAGGCAAGAGGCACCATGCCCAGCCCAGTTTTACCAAATATCTTAACCTTGGGTTTAATTTTTCCAGTCTGTGAAAGGATTTTACTGTATCACAGGTGTTACAGAAATCTGATTAGTCTCACCATGAAGGTGACAATATGTGAGAGGGCATGCTGGTGTCTGGGCAGGAGACCCCAAAGGTGACTGTGCTGCCAGATGATCAGTATCAGAAACCTAGGCCTGGGAACTCTCAGAGAGTGGGCAGTACTTGTCTGAATCTCAGAGCTGCTGCATCTTAATCATTGGTTGCAATCAGGGAAGTGCTCTAAATGTTTACTAGTTGGGCCTTGTCCTAGATCAGTTTAGCATGTAGAAAAGACAAACAGTAGTTTAAAATATGAGTTGTTTTTGTCATATTAGTTATAGCTCAGTTGACTCTATTTTTTACCCCACAAATGGTTTAAAAGCATTTAATAGAATACTTTTTTTATCAACAGAGTATTATCTGTTTTAACTGTACTATGAGATTCTTACACAGGGCAAATGATAATACTAATTTCTTATGATTTTAAGACCTTTTATGATTAATAAAGCATTTCACACATTTCATTTAATCTTCTCCATGATCCTGTTATTTGCTAAAGCAGTTATTCTCATTTACAACAGAGAAAATTTAGCCTCAGAGAAGTTAGGTGATTGATTTTTTTTTTCTTTTTCTTTTCAACTTGTATTTTAGGTCAAGGGGTACATGTGCAGGTTTGTTACATGGGTAAATTGCATGTCACAGGGGTTTGATGGACAGATTATTTTGTCACCCAGGTAAGAAGCATAGGTGGTTTTTTGATTCTTACTCTCTTCCCACCCCCTACTCTCAAATAGACCTCAGTGTCTATTGTTCCCTTACTTGTGTCTATGTGTACACTATGTTTAGCTCCTATTTATAAGTGAGAATTTGTGGTTTCTGATTTTCTGTTTCTGCATTAATTGAGTTAGGATAATGGCCTCCAGCTCTGTCCATGTTGCTGCAAAGGCCATGTTCTCATTCTTTGTTATGGCTGTGTAGTATTCCATGGTGTATATGTACTACATTTTCTTTATACAGTCCACGGCTGATGGGCATCTAGGTTGATTGCATGTCTTTGCTATTGTGTTTAGTGCTGTGATGAACATATATGTGCATGTGTCTTTATGGCAGAACAATTTACATTCTTTTGGGCATCAACCCAGTAATGAAATTGCTGAGTTGAATGGTAGTTGTATTTTAAGTTCTTTGAAAAATCTCTTTCCACAGTGGCTGAACTAATTTGCATTTCCACCAGCAGTGTGTAAGTGTTCCCTTTTTTTCTGCAACCTTGCCAGCATCTGTTATTTTTTGATTTTTTAGTATTAATAGCCATTCTGACTAGTGTGAGATGGTATTTCGTTGTGGTTTTGATTTACGTTTCCCTAATGATTAGTAATGTTGAACATTTTTTCATATGCTTGTTGGCACCATGTGTGTCTTCTTTTGAGAAATGTTTGTTCATGTCCTTTGCCCATTTTTTAAATGGTTTTTGTTTTTTGTTTTTTCGCTTGTTGATTAGCTTACATTCCTTATAGATTCTGGATGTAGGCCTTTGTCAGATAAATAGTTTGCAAATACTTTCTCCCATTCTGTAGGTTATCTGTTTACTCTGTTGATAATTCATTTTGCTGTAGAGAAGCTCTTTCCTTTAATTAGGCCCCACTGGTCAAATTTTGTTTTGTTTCAATTGCTTTTGGAATCTTCCTCATGAAGTCTTTGCACAGGCTGATGTCCAGAATGATATTTCCTATGTTTTCTTCTGGGTTTTTTATAGTTTTAGGTTTTACATTTAAGTCTTCAATTCATCTTGAGTTGAATTTTGTGTGTAGTAGAAGGAAGGGGTCTAGTGTCAATTTCCTGTACATGGCTAGCCAGTTATCCCAGCCCATTTCTTGAATAGTGAGTCTTTTCCCCATTTCTTGTTTTTGTTGAAGATCAGATGATTGTTAGGTGTGTGGCTTTATTTCTGAGCTCTCTAACCTGTTCCGTTGGTCTGTGTGTCTGTTTCTGTAGCAGTCCCATGCTGTTTGGTTGCTGTAGCCTTGAAGTGTAGTTTGAAGTCAGGTAATATGCCTCCAGCTTGTGTTTTTTTTGGCTTAGGATTGCTTTGGCTACTTGGACTCTTTTTGGTTCCAAATGAATTGTAGAATTTTTTTTTCTAATTTGTGAAAAATGTCATTGGTAGTTTGATAGAAATAGCATTGAATCTGTAAATTGCTTTGGGCAATATGGCATTTTAACAATATTTATTCTTCCTATCCATGAACAAGGAATGTTTTTTTCATTTATTTTGTTATCTTTGATTTTTTTCAGCAGTGCTTTGTAAGTCTCATAGAGATCTTTTACTTCCCTGGTTAGCTGTATTCCTAGGTGTTTTATTCTTTTTGTGGCTTTTTTTTTTCTTTGAGATGGAGTCGTACGCTGTTACCCAGGCTGGCGTGCAGTGGCATGATCTCAGCTCATTATAACCTTCGCCTCCTCAGTTCACGCAATTCTGCCTCAGCCTCCCGAGTAGCTGGGATTTTTTTTTTTTTTTAATTTATTTTTTTTGTTAGGATGCTCACAGAACACATGAACCAGCACTAGTGTGATAAAGAGTACATCTGACCCACACTGTGGTACAACACAGGGGAAGGGCTCTCAGAGCTGGTGCCAAGTGTCCACCAAAGAAAGTCCCATTCACCAGAGGCAGGTTGTTTCCTTGGATTCCATCGTCTCTGCTGCAGCTGCCAGCCAGGTCTTCATGATCTTCTGGGAATCCTTCATGCCAGCACCAGTTCATGTTCTCTGCCCTTGCTACTCCTGACTCTTTCAAGACCCAGGTCACTCATGACTCACCGAAGACTCATGGCTCACTCACCCAGGTCACCCTTATCAGCACCTGCCACCATGTCTGGCTAATTTTTGTATTTTTAGTACAAACAGGGTTTCACTATGTTGCCCAGGCTGGTCTTGAACTGCTGACCTCAAGTGATTCACCTGCCTTGGCCAATCAAAGTGCTGGGATTACAGGCGTGAGCCACTGCACCTGGCCTTTTTGTGGCTATTGTGAATGGGATTGCTTTCTTGGTTTGCTGTCAGTGTGGATGTTATTTGTGTATAGAAGTGCTACTGATTTTTGTACTTTGATTTTGTATCCTGAAACTTTGCTTAAGTTTATTAGATCTTTTCTAGGTATAGTCAAAGTATTTCTCTTCCCGTTTGGATGTCTTTTATTTCTTTGTCTTGTCTGATTGCCCTAGCTAGACTTCCAGTACCGGGTTGAATAGGAGTGGTGAGAGTGGGCATCCTTGTCTTGTTCCGGTTCTCAAGGGGAAAGCTTCCACTTTTGCCCATTCTGTATGATGTTGGCTGTGGGTTTGTCATAGACGGCTTTTTTTATTTTGAAGTATGTACCTTTGATGCCTAATTTGTTGAGAGTTTTTAACATGAAAGGATGCTGAATTTTATTGAAAACCCTTTTTTTTTTTTTTGCGTCTATTCAGATGATCATGTGGTTTTTGAAAAAGCCCTGGACCAGATAGATTCATAACCAAATTCTACCAGATGTGTAAAGAGCTGGTTTCAGTCCTACTGAAACTCTTCCCAAAAATTGAGGAAGAGGGTTTGCTCCCTAACTCATCCTGTAAGGCCAGTATCATTCTGATACCGAAACCTGGCAGAGACACAACGAAAGAGGAAAACGTCAGGCCAATATCCCTGGTGAACGTAGATGCAAAAATCTTCAACAAAAATGCTAGCAAACCAAATTCAGCAGCACCTGAAAAAGCTAATCCGCCACAGTTAAGTAGGCTTTATTCCTAGGAGGCAAGGTTGGTTCAACATACACAAATCAATACATGTGACTCATCACCTAAACACATGATTATTAAAAGGTAAAGTTAGAATCAAAATTTTCTGAATCCTTGAATTTTTCTCACTTCACTGTTTTATATCACACAGCCCTGTGCATTCTGATGTGTGTGTTTGGCAGTAATGAGGATCATTTTTGACAAACTGAAAGCGCTGCCTAGTCCTGCGGTGGCTTGTGACTTTGAGCCCTAAATGACAGGCATAAGGTTAATGCTGGACATGAGAACCAAAGTGCTGCAGTTCATCTCTTCCCCACCACTGGCCAGCTGTGGGACCTAGTGAACCTCGCTGGGCTCAGCCTCCTCATCTGTAAGATGGGGTAGTAGGACCAACTTCACAGGGCTGTTTTGAAGATTAAGTGTGCATGTTTACAGCTTAGAACAGTGCCAGGTCCTGTTTAAACATTTACCTGACAAGACAACAGCAAATGCAATAAGCAGCCTTTCAGGAGGTTTCATAAGCCATCTTTTCTACCTGGACAAATCAAAGTAAAGAGGGGCTGCTTTTGTCAGTTAAATTTCTTTTATGGAGGTAATTGACTTCATATGAAGTAGTTGTGATAATGATGGTAAAAGGGTAGGTACCAATAATTATTGAGCATTTGCTTTGCGGAGACCTTGTGCTCAGCATTTTACTGTCTTGTTCAATCTACAGCACAATCCTGTGAATGGGTCTTGTCATTATTATTCCTATTCCGGTTGAAACTGGCCTGAGGTAGAAGGTGGTGCAGGCAGAATTAGAGCCCAGGGCAGTTTACAACTGAGTGTAATCCTGAACACATCTGATCATTTTATTCAGAATCTGTAGGGTAGTGGTAGGTAGTTGTGACTGGGTGGAAGATTCCATTTTACTTCTCTTCCCTCTGAAAGATTTCATATCAAATTCTTTTGAGGATGTCATATCTTTTAATGAAGGACTTATAAACTAAGCATTACATGTATGGATTGCAAATGTTCAAATCTACTGTGACTTGGAAAATAAAACCTGTGTCAAAGGGTGAGTTTAATTTGGCTTTTCCCAGCTAGCATACGAGCTGTCTGTTGGTTGGAGATTAATAGCAAATCTCTTTTGTATCTGAATAGCAATTCAGTTGACTTATAAAACCTTGACAGTGAGCACATTTTGATTGATATTGATAGTGTAAGAAACATGTGGCAGCAGAAATAATAAAACAAGCCATGTGTTTCCTTCATCTTAGGAAGAACTAAGCCTTTTCATGAGGGAAGCTGGAGACGGAATTTTAATTGTTCTGTTAATTCGTTCATTTAGTCCAATTTTCTTTGTCACAGGGGAAATTAGTCAAGACCATTTCGGTTCCATCTCAATTCACTTAATTCAACTGTTTCTTGCATATTTTATTTTTACAGTTTACAAATTGAACCCCTTGAAATGGCTAATCATTTCCCAGCTATTGTGTCAGTCAACAGAGCTGCTGTGCTTAATAGCAAATAGAAGGATGTATAATTTTTCATTGCTTTTCTTTGATTTCACCAAGATAGCTATCTGATGGAAAGTCCAGTTGGTTTTGAAGCTTAATTTTCTCAGTCTAGAACCATAGCATTCTGGATATTTTTCATCTTTTAACTTGTTGATAAAGGTGACTTTTGCTTTACATATTATTTTTTTGCTTACTCTCAAAATCTGTTTATGTCTAATGATGTGTATTTTCTAAAGCATGCCTCCCGAGGAAGGCTGGGCGGGCGTTATCATGGCGGTGTGAGGAAGAGCACTGGGACTGAGTTAGGAGACCTGGGTTGTAATTCTGGCTCTGTGGCCAGAATGACTTGTTGAACCTTGGGAAAATGATTTATCTTTTCTGAGCCTCTGTTGTCCCATTTGCAAAAGGGGAGTGTTGGGTTGAATCATCTCCAATGCTGTTTTTAGATCTAACAATTCTGTTTTTCCAGGAGGCTCAGCTGGCAGCCAAAGCTGTAGCATCCAGAAGGCAGCTTGGCCTGGGGCAGGTGGTGGGTTGCCAGTGGAGCCAAATGGCTGGCCTCTTCCCTGAGGGCAGGTTGTCTTCCCGGTCAAGAATGGCACTTAGAGTAAGTCTGCACATGCTGACTTACAGTGATGACCTGGCTTTGGTTCAGTGCATTTAGAGAACTGGGCTGAGCTTTCCAGTCTTTTTTAGTAATTTATTCTAGATCTACGTGTTGTATCGGGATTAAGTTAGGTGTCACTTGATCCATCCTGAGAGCTAACAAATCAGCATATAACTGTAGGTTCTTCTCTACTCAGTGGCATTTCTAGTCTTGAGACAAAGATAACTTCAGAATATACCACTAAAGGTAGTCGCTCCCCTGTGTTTAGCTCTCTCCTCCCCGAGTGCTAGCATGGTCCCTTTGGTATTCTTAGAGGATGCATCTCTGTGGATACATCTCTTGGTTTTTAAGCTGCTCCCAATTTTGTTGGTAAGGGCTCGTGACCACATTTCTTATTGCAGTTTGTGAAGAAAATGGAAGGATATTTCCCACCATTCAATTGTCATAATTATAGCATATGGCTGTTGAAAGCAGAAAAGGGCAATTAGGGAGAAAATGCCTTCTTAGTCTGCAGAGAAGACAGTGAAAATGGAAGATTTAGCTGCTGACGCTTTGCACTTTGCCAGAGAAATCTTTTGAGAGCTCCTCTCTTGATTTACAGAGTTGAGGTCAGGTATTTCTCTGGCCACATCCAGATTTCTATGTGTGGAACTCTCCAGCTCTAAGGTGCCCCTTCTGTGCTCCTGAGTTCTAGTGACCGCTGTAGGCTGGCCTCCGAGGCCCTGTGCAAACCCCTAAGGCTACTTCTCAAGTAGGAGAAAACATTGTGGTAACATTCTTGATGGCAGTATGTCTGCATCAAAAAGATTGATAAAGTGCAATAATTAGCAGAACTTGTCTTCATGAGGAACACTCTGCCAGAATCGAGAATATTCTCCGATATGTCCATAATGCTTTATAGTTTACAGTGCTTTAAAAATGTACCCTCCCAAGAATATCGTGAACCAGTTAAGCGTTCACTGCATCTTACACAGTAGGAAACAGCTTCAGCTCAATCAATTGACTTGCCCAAGATCACATGAGGAGGGCACAGCCCCACCTAAGAGGTCTGTCATGACACAGAAGTATGTCGTTCCTCCGTGGTCCCTTAGATTTTGGTCTCATTTCTTTATGGAAGCGTTTCCAAGCTCCCGTTTTCAAATCTTCCTCCCATGTGCTGATACATACCATGCACCATGCATGTTTATTCAGTGTATTGCTGGCTTTGTTATGTACTGAGATTCATCTTTTTTCTCTTTCATTTAAAATACAGGATTTGGAGAAAAGTGGTATATCAAGGAACAATGACATAGGTAAGTAATGTTTTTTTTTTTAACCTAAGAGTGTGTACTCAGGTGTATTTTGTATGAATTGTATTTCTGTCAAGTGATTTTTTAAAATTTTATTTATGGGGTAAATATGGTTGTCCAGATATTCTGTCTTCGGGCCAGCCCAACCTTTGCTCTTCTGAAGATGTGGGGTGAACACTTTTCAGCTGGGCATGTTGGCATATGGTGGATTTATGTTTACTCAGTGAGATATGTTGAATTTAATTCCCTCTGGCATCATTCATTAAGCTTCCAATAAGATAAAGCACCATGCCTGGTGGGCTGTCTGGGGGAATGTAGAGAGGAAGGAGACATGGCCCCTGTTATTAAGGACCCACACTGTGTGGGAGAAAAGGACAAGCTGTGACCTTTGCACATGCTGTCCGAGAGCAGGCTCTCCACCCGCTGACCTTCAGACACCCCCGGCTCACCAGTCACGTCTGCCAAACTTGTTCCAAGCATCCTGGCCTGGAAGCTGTTATGCCTTCCTTTGCAAGGCATCATGCTTCTGTCACAGCCCATTCCTTATTTGTACTCCTTTTGAAACTCCCTCCCTCTCGCCACCATATAATGTAAGCATCTTTAGGAATGTGACCATCAGAGTTTTTTAAAAAAAATTTTCATGGGAAGCACATACCCAGTGTGTAAGGCCACACCTCTGTGGGGAGGGGTGAGTCTGTCCCTGAAGGGTGTGAACTTCATCGATGTCTTTCCTCCCATGGTAGGAGGAATGACCCAGGTCTGGAACACAATCAGCCAGGACCTGGACACCAGAAGCAGTGAGACCTCCACAGGAGGCGTGTGGTGTCAGGGGGTATGAGGGCCATTGGAAAAGTCTCCTTACAGACATGGGTGGTTGGCTCACCTCTGGTTTTATGGTGGGTAAGCCTGGGCTCCAGGAAACAAGAAGGGAACAATATACTCTTGCTTCCTCTCTATTGTTTTCCATGGATACCCGGAAGGCGAGCTCTAGATAAGAGGGAAAAGGATAAAGGCCCTTCTAGACCTTCCCTTCCTAGGCCTGGGTTCTGAGGGGTGCAGAAGTAAGGAGAGCCTCCACCTTTGCCCTGGGTGGAAGGGGGAGCATGACCTGTCTTGGAGAGCCACATCTGGGGCCCACAGGGGAGTGTGTTGGGGTCTGCGGGGTCTGAGAGCAACTGTATTTAAGGAACCGTGTCAATTTGTTGCTTCTTCTTCTCTATGTGACAACACCCTGTATGGTTTAGCCACACCTTTCCTAAAATGTGGAGATGTTTTTCTCTGCTACCAACTCTCGTGGCTTTGAGCATTTATTTGTGGTTTATGGGAACAGATGAGTCTCTGGTTTTAAATGAATTAATGATGCAAGTCTGGAACATGGGCTTGAAACTACGAAGGGGAAGTTACCTTGGACAGGTAAATTTTTATTCTTGCACTTGTACATGGCAAGTCAAGTGATACCTAATTTGGCATCAGGTCATCTGAAAAAGACCCAAGGGGCTTCTTTTCACAGTCTTTGTGTGAGCCCACAGGACCGGGAGGCTACTAAAGTTGCCTGTGCAGTTGCAGCCACAGGAGTAGAGTGAGGCATCAAGAGCATGGCTCCCAGTCAGAGCTGGGAAATAGCCTCCACGCACAGGCTGCTGATTCTCCTTCAGCTTGCTGCCTAATTGATAGATTCACTAGCATATGATTATTCTCACCAAGTAAACATAATGGAGTGGTGCTTTGTGCATGTGTGTGCATGTGTGTCCATGTGTGTATGTGTGCACGCGTGTGTGCATGCATCCGTATCCCTCAGCTTTAAACCATAAGGTGGTTTGTTACTCACCTTTTATCAGAAGAAAACCATATTGATTTCTCATCAGAAAAACACAAGCATGATGAAACCCATTTTTCAGGTAATTTCTGACCAGGAAGATTAGCACTTGGTTCAGTGCTTAGCCAATGGTAGGTGCTGAGCAACTGAAGATATACAGAGCATTTGGTTTCTTCTGCTTTCAGAGAATCATTGCTCGTCAGTATCCGTTTTCTAACTATCTTTTGGTCCTGCCGCCTTTCCTGAGCGCTCTCTGCAACTCACCATTGGCTTTGGCATTGCATTGGCCCTTTAGGTATCCTTGACTAATTTCTTTATCTTCTCCTTCTAGCCTGTCACTCTGATTATTATTGTCAGGCACTTAATGTGCGGCCCATTTATTGCCCATTGCTGGTGGAGAAACAATGACGATCCATCTTGAGTTGTGACAGTGTTTGCTGAAGGCAAATTGCAGTGAGTTTAAAGAAGTACAACCAAAATGATAAGGAAATCGTGGAGGAATTGTCTTATTTAGCTCTGTTGACTGGGCAGCAGGAGCTTAAGAGTTAGGTGGTTGGATGGCATACACAAAGAAGACAGCTAGTGAGGTAAGCTCTGGGATCTGGACTCAGCCAGAATGTGATTCAGTGAAGGGATGGCTTAGGTTGTATGTCAGAACAGCAAGAATTTAAACCCATAAGCTGTTTGCGGCACTGAATTGTACTACCTATACTAACCTGGTTCTTTTCTGGAATGGGTTGGGGCTGACTAGCATGTCAGTGATCTTCCGGCATTCATTATGATCAGGGTTACAGGAGCTCCCTTCCCCTTTAGCCTTGTCCTCGATAATCCCCCCTATGCATCCTGTTCCTTGGCCATACCTAACTGTTAGTGTTTTCCGGGCCCTAAATTTGATTTTCTGTCCCAAACCTTCACTGCTCCTTCAGTAGGGAGGGTCTTCCCACCCTCTTTTTCCTCCATCTTCAGGACAGTGTCCACCTTCCCTCCTTTGAGAAGGCCCCACTGCCTGGGACCCCACTTTGGCTCCTGAGGCCCTTCCCCCATTTGAAAGTGATTGACCTAGAGCCCAAGCTTCTCAGCGTGGTATGTAAATCCCTCATGATTTTTGACTTGATGAATCTGCTCCGCTTTCTAACTTTATCACCCACTGTACCCCGCCCCGCTTCTTTTCTCAGAAATGCCTGACAAACATGGTCATTCCCTCAGGGATGCTACGGAGATACCGCAGGCTGTGGGCTCTGTGATAACCCCACTGATCTGCTACCCTCTCTGCCTGTGTCTGCTGCTTTTTAAAGGAAACTCAGGAAATACCTCCTCTGGGAAGCTGTCCTTGCACTTGGCCCCCGATCGTCCGGAATGGAGTAAGCCTCAGAGAATAATTTTTGTGAATTTAATAAAGAAGATGCACATTCCCAGTGACCCAGAAATTCCAGGCTTATTAATCATCCTAGAGAAACTTGGATGAATTTCTGTGCCCTGTGCTTAGTTAGCTCTGGCTTTCCATTTACTGCTTTGTGTTATAATGGCCTGTCTCTGAACGAGGCTCAGACACTCCAGTGCTGTGACTGGGCGCACTCATCCTTGTATCGCAGAGCCTTACACTTAGTAGGTACTCAGAAGATGTTTGCTGAATGAATGAATGAAGCATGCATGATTGAAGTATAGGAAAAAGGGAGGGGCCAGCACGATTGCTTAGTAGCTATGTTAAGGAGCACAGATACAACTCACAGGACGTGACCCAGGTATATATGGGAAGAATTTGCTTTTTTTTTTTTTTTTTTTTTGAGATGGAGTTTCGCTCTTGTTGCCTAGGCTGGAGTGCAACAGCTCACTGCAACCTCTGGCTCCCAGGTTCAAGCAATTCTCCTACCTTAGCCTCCTGAGTAGCTGGAATTACAGGCATGCACCACCACACCTGACTAATTTTGTATTTTTAGTAGAGAAGGGATTTCTCCATGTTGGTCAGGCTGGTCTTGAACTCTCGACCTCAGGTGATCCGCCCGCCTTGGCCTCCCAAAGTGCTGGGATAATAGGCGTGAGCCACCACACCTGGCCTTGCTTTTTAATCTTCTTGCAAATCCTCTTCCCTGCATGGAAGTGCTCTTGTCTTTGTGAGAAGACAGTGGGAGCTTTGCTGATGTGGTAGAAGTGGCAGGAGTTGGTTACTGTGATGAGTGGTGAATGCAGGATTAAGCTTTTTTTTTTTTTTTTTTTTTTTTTTTTTTTTTTTAAGATGGAGTCTTGTTATGTTGCTCAGGCTGACCTCAAACTCCTGAGCCCAAGCAATCCTCCTGCTTCAGCTTCCCAAGTAGCTGAGACTTCAGGTGCATGCCACGATGCCCAGCTAGGATTAACCTTTTGATAGAGAAATCTGCTCTTTAAAAAATTTATTATGAAGTAATTTGAACATATAAAAGTTATAAAGAGAATAATATAATGAACATTCATGTATTGTATGTGCATTAGATTTAGAAATAAAACATCACTTAGATTAAGAAATTAAGCACCATTAACCCAGCTGAAACCTTTTAACCATTATCCTGATTTGGTATTTAACATACTCATGTAATCTTTTATACCTTCACATGCTATGTGTGTATATGTATGATATATATACATTTCAATATGTTTATATTGTTGCAAACTATTGATTTATATATTCTTTTGCAACTTGCTTTTTTCAGCATTATAACTATATGGTAGACCATATAGTTTTATTTACCATATAGATTTATCTATATTTATCTACCATATAGATTTGTCCACCATATCCATCTGGATTGATACATGTAGTACTGGTTAATTTTTATTGCTGTATAGTATTCCAGTTAATATATCTTGTTAGTGGATATTTTCGTTGCTTCCAATTTGTTTCTTTTACACAGTGCCGCTGTGAATACTTTTGTTATATATCCTTGTGCACTCATCTTAGTTTCTCAAGGATGATTAATAAGAGTGGAATTTCCGGGTCATTGGGCATGTGCATCTTCTTGTTTATTAAATTTTACAGAAATTATACTCTGAGGCTTATTTACTCCATTCTTAACAAAAAGAAATCTTTATAACTCCTCTTTAGATGTGTCATTTATATTGCTTCAAATGTAGTAGATCCAAGATAACAATTCAGTTGAAACTGAAGAGACCCGTTTAAGTCTATTCTATGAGTCCAACATATAAAGCTGAGAAGCTGGTTTAAAACAGAGACAGGTATATGGAATGTTCTATTTATATAAACTCCTAAATAAAAGAAATTAGGTCAGATTCAGTAGGTTGTTCAGCACTTCCTTTTACATATTTTATTGATTTTTAACCAAAGAGCATTTTAGATTATTTTTAGGCTCTAGATGGCTCACCGTGGAGCTATATGTTGTGTGAATATTTGAGCGAGTGAATAAGTGAATGGAGTTATAGAATAGAACATAAGAACAATCAAATATAATGGAATACAATTAAAATCAAATTAGGGTCTCTGAGCTGAGGTGTTAAAGAGAAAAGATCCATGGTCGGGGAAGGGTCCCTACATGGCTTTGCTGACAATCTGGCTGAAGGCTACAATTTATGTGGCACCTCCCTTCTGCCAACATCCCTGTCTGGTGGCAGGATGCTGACAAAATCACTGTTTCATCGATTTCTTTGTTACAGGCTCAGAACCTGGGGAGGCCTAACGTGTTTCTCTGGGGTGCAGCCCTGCCACCTCCATTGGCAAGCCCTCCATGGTCTTTGTGGGCAGGACATACTTGAGTTTTCTCCCTCCTCGCCGTTGTAAAAAGCTGGCTGCCTTCAGATGCATCTCTAGCAGGCAGCGTGGGTGTTGTAGATGGGCTTTATGCGACACTTTGCACTAAAGCCCTGTTGCTGAGGAATTGTGGCTGGTTTCCTGGAGATAACACCTAATCCTGGCTAGGTGCCTTAGGAGGTAGGGTAGGGATTATTGAGTCATTTATTCACAAACTCTGTGAACTCATGAGAGATGTGCAGTTACTGTTGAGTTTCACCTGAAAAGGCCACTCAGAACATTCTTGAAGTAGTGTAGTAGTGAGCTAGGACTACATAACAAAGTACCACAAAATATGGCTTAGTACAGGCAACAGAAATGTTTTGTCTCACAGTTCTGGAGGCTAGAAGTCTGAGATCAAGGTGTGGGCAGGGTTGGTTCCTTCTGAGAGCTGGGAAGGGAGGGATCTGTTCCAGGCTTCTCTCTTTGGCTTGTACGTGGCCATCTTCTCTACATGTCTCTTCGTATCGTCTTCCTTCCATATGTGTTGGTTATGCATCCAAATTTCCCCTTTTTTAGGGATACTGGTTATGTTGGATTAAGGTTCACCCTGATAATCTCCGTTTAACTTGATTACCTCTATAAAGACCCAATTCTAAATGAAGTCACATTCTGAAGTGTTAGGGGGTAGGACTTAAAAAAATATGAATTTTGGAGGACATGATTCATCTCATAACAGGTAGTAGCACAGTGTAGGATTATGTAGGAATTGTTAAAAAGCTATTTGTAAACATTAGATTTTCAGCTACTGGGAAGATTATCGTTCTAGATGTTTTTGCACATTTACAGTCATTCTTTCTGACAGAAGCAGAAGCACATTCACAGTTTGGTACCATAGACTGGGTCTCATATAGTCAGCTTATTTACTTGCTAACTTCTAAGAAGGAAGTTTTGGAAACAGTTTAAAAAGAGAAAATTTTGTCTCTAGAATTACATATGAATTGATTTTTTTTCCCTTTAAGAGTTTATTGCCTGAAGGCTTGCCTTGTAGCTATTTTTTTCACTTGTTTTCAAGTTTAATAATTGTATAAAAAGAAATACCTGAAAACTATTTCTTTTTGTTCTAGACTTAAAAGAAATTATATTTGTCATCCAGAGTCAAAGTAATTCTTTTCATGCAAAGAGAGCAGAGCAATTAAAAAAAAGCATCTTGAAACAGGCTGCAGATCTTACACAGGTACGTAGTGATGGCTTGGTTGGGGGGGGGCGTTCTGCCAGTTATGTATTTCTTGATTACTTTTATGTTTTCCAAAACACTGGATCTGTAGAGAATCAGTTTTTATTTAGATGAGTATAACTCTTCTGACTCATTTTGCTTATTTAATATTGAATATTTGTTGTTGAAAATGTTTTGGTCAGCTGGGTGCAGTGGTTCACGCCTGTAATCCCAACACTGTGGGAGGCCGAGGTGGGTGAATCAGTTGAGGTCAGGCATTCGAAACCAGCCTGGCCAACATGGCAAAACCCCATCTCTACTAAAAATACAAAAATTAGCGGGGTATGGTGTTACATGCCTGTAATCCCAGCTACTCAGGAGACCAAGGCAGGAGAATTGCATGAACCCGGGAGGCAGAGGTTGCAGTGAGCTGAGATCACACCACTGCACTCCAGCCTGGGTGGCAGAGAGGGACTCTGTCTCACGCACTTCCAAAAAAAAAAAAAAAAGAAAAAGAAAAAGAAAATGTTTTGGTTAATTTCTAATGCGCGAAGTATCATATTCTAAATTTGTGTGTGTGTGTGTCTGTCTGTGTGTGTGTGTGTGTGTGTGTCTGTATATACACACACATATATATATAGAAATTTAAGAGAACTGTATAATTGTGTGGGGCAACTGTGGATTTGTCACGAAGTATGATAAAAGAAAGTAGAAGAAATAACTTTTTAAAGGCAAGGCTTAAAATAGAGATAATTAATGTTCAAAATTTTGGTAACAAGTTCTAAGGCAATTTTCATGTTGGAATAACATTTTCATTAATCTTAGTGCAGTGCTTTATGAGTCTCTTAATCTACTTTTTTAATTGGATGTCATTAATTTAACTTTTGATTTGATTTATAATGTAATATTCCAGAAGGATTATGTAGAGAAAAATCTATGTATGCAGGTACATTTTAATAACATTTAAAATAGGCATGAACAGAATCTAAAGCTGCTGTGAATAATGCTGTAGGTTTGGGGTGAGGGAGGATCTACCCTGTGCTGCCCTACAGGTGGTTTCCTCCTTTAGCTAAGTCAGTCCATCAAGACCTCTGTACCATGTTGTGATGGCCTTCAAGACCAAAGTGCCATCCCTTTGTTCTCCCAGGAAAGAACTCTTTGACAAGAGATATAAGTACATAACAGATCGCTGCTTTCTTTCTCTTCATGTGTACTGGAAAATAAAGGGTCAGAAATGTCAGTGGAAACATAAACAGCCTTTACAGTATTCAACGCAAGGAACTGCTTGGAATAAGGTTTATTGTGTTTAATCTTTAAATGCTTTATATATGAACTGTATCAAACTGTCCTGTGTCCCTGCAAGGCCAGGTTCTCTGGGTTGCTGTACTTGAACCATCATACTTTCTCAAGGGAGAGGAAAGAAATTCATGCTATAGATAGACTGGTTTTCAGTAGTCAGAGATAGGAGCAGCTTAATAAGTTAAAAATTGTTCTTTTTTCTGGAAACCTAACTTTTGGAGATTTTCTTCTACTAAACCTTCCCGGATTTTATTAGAGAGGCAGACATGCAGCACCTTGACTGGCTGGCTTCCTCCACCTGCCCTGCTGGAGGTGACAGTGGGGTGGCCAAGTGCAGGCTGCTGCAGGGAGGAGGAGGAGCCAGGAGCCCAGATAATCCTTCCCTCAGGTGGGTCCAGGGAAGCTCTAACTGAATTTTGCGTAGTCAGACCTTGGCAATTACCCCAAATTATGTGATCAGTGATGGCATCAGAAGCACAGTTAGGCATTGCTTACTCATATGAATTAAGAGCACGCTTTTCCCTATGTCACCTGCATGTGTCCCTGTTCCCAGAAGTACCTTCCATCTTGCAGAGACAGGTTTGTGTTTTTTAGGCTACGTATCTTCCCCGTTTAATCCATACCAATAGTCCTTGCCATTGATATGGATAGCGACACCCCTGACCAGGCAAGCCTCGTCAATTGAATATGCCCCTGTACTTCCTCTGCTGTTCATCTACTCTTATTTTATCTTATTTTTGGCCAATTTTATTTCTGTGCAAATGGATATTCATTGCTGGCTCTCTACCTGCCTTTCCCATTTTATTCTTCTAGGAAGAGTAGTTTTCAGAGCACCTTCGAGCAGGGCAAGTTTCCTGGGACTGGGTTTACAGTGGGGATAAGGCATGTGGATCCCTTTTGGTGGGAAGCAATAGAATTATAAAGTGTTCCTCCTTCTTTCTCTTAGGAAAAAATGAGAGTTGAGAGGGTGCTGCTGGGGGCTGGGTGTGCCTGCTTTTTTGAGAGGCCCTGGGGCTTTGCAAAGAATAGAGCCCAGGTGCAAGAGCACTGGATGCTTAAAACTGACTCTAGGCTCTGGGGAGGATGGTTAGAGGTTCCTGTGTAAGCTGAACTTGGTAGTGGTATTTAGGAATGGATAATGTGTGTTGTAACTTCTCTTTGGTGTTTGTCAGGGTTGAGGCAAAGTGGTAGGCAGCTGAGCAGGTGTGGATCTAGCAGAGCAGAAGGAGCCCCCATTGCTCGTCCCCTTGTGCCAGGGCAGTTGCACCAGAGCCTATTAACTGAAGTTCCTATCTCTGGATCCCAGCTTCATCATCTGCCGCTCACCCCCTTGTCCTCTATTTGCCAGTAACTTCAAACGTTTTATGGTTCTAGGATCACTTGCCATATTAGTCCATCCTTGCATGGCTATAAAGAAACAACTGGGACTGGGCCATTTATAAAGAAAAGAGGTTTAATTGGATCATGGTTCCACACTGAAGCATGGCAGCTTCTGGGGAGGCCTCAGAAAACTTTCAATCATGGCAGAAGGTGAACCGGAAGCAGGCACATCTCACGTGGCTGGAGCAGGAGGGAGAGAGCGAGCGGGGAGGTGCTACACACTTTTAAGCAACCACATCTCTCAGTAACTCACTTTCTTCACAGCAACACCGAGGGAGATGATGTTAAACTATGAGAAACTGCCCCCATGATCCAGTCACCTCCCACCAGGCCCCACTTCCAACGCTGGGGATTACAATTCCACATGAGATTTGGGTGGGGATGCAGATTCAGACCATATCCCATGCTCAGTCCCTGTGGCTTTGCGTATTGTAGATCCTGTCGTCTTGTCAAGCTCATGTATTCCCCATAAAGGTTTTCTATGCACCATCTTGACCCACAGTGCTAAGCTACTTCCTTTTTGGTACCACTTCTGTAACTTGTACAAACTTCTATTATATACTTTTCATTGTGTATTATTTACCTGTCTCTTTTACAAATTTTGAGAGCAGCGAATAGACTGTGTCTTATGAGTTTTTAATTATTCAAAACCAAGCATTGAATCCTTGAAAATCATGATATTTTCTTTCCCAGAGTTACTTTCTTCTCTGTTGTAATATAAGTTTCCTTGTATTTCTCTTACATACAGTGTGGACCTTCGGCTGTACATACGCATGCATACACACACACGCTGTATTAAATCACAAGTTCTTTGAAGGCAGACACTTCTTTTGATCCTTCCATAGCACCTTGAACATAGTAGGTGTTCAGCATATGGCAATTGAATTGACTCTAAAAATTTGTCAAATGAAAGTGAAAATTTAAATAAGTTACATATTTTATTCCTGTTAACTCTTAAATGGATAATGGCCAACCTCCCTTCCTCTTAAAAATAAAATAGCTATTTATTTCTCTTAGTGAAGTCACAGGGTTTAGGAAGAAGAGTTGAAAAAAAGTTAGGTATGAGCTGGTGCTAGAAAAATGTGATCTCAGGCCGGGAGCGGTGGCTCACGCCTATAATCCAGCACTTTGGGAGGCTGAGGCGGGTGGATCGCGAGGTCAAGAGATCGAGACCATCTGGTCAACATGGTGAAACCTCGTCTCTACTAAAAATACAAAAATTAGCTGGGCATGGTGGCACATGCCTGTAGTCCCAGCTACTCGGGAGGCTGAGGCAGGAGAATTGCTTGAACTCAGGAGGCGGAGGTTGCAGTGAGCCGAGATGGCACCATTGCACTCCAGCCTGGGTCACGAGAGCGAAACTCCGTCTCAAAAAAAAAAAAAAAAAAAAAGAAAAGAAAAATCTGATCTCATGATTAATTAAATCTTTTGGAGATAGTATGAAAAAAACCAGAAGATTCACTTGACTACTTTAACACAACATAACAGTGACTTAAAGAAGATGGAAATCTTTCAGTATTGAAACAAAAATTAAGGAAAAAAAAAAGATGGAAGATGCACTTCTCTCCACCCAACAGTCTAGTCAGTGGGGGCCTGGGGAGGCGGCTCTGCTCTGGGTTCCCCTGTCCTTTGGCTTAGATGAAGTGTCTTGTCCTACCTGGTTGAAGCTGACCTACCTTCTGCATTCCAGCATGTGGAGGCCAAGCTGCTTCCTTTTAAGGATCTTGTACCTTGAAGTTGTATATGTTGTGTCCGTTTATGTACCTGGGTCTAGGGCATATCATGTGGGTAGACCTGGGCTGGGAAGGGGGATGTCTGGTTGGATGGCCCTGGGTTCAGCCAGAACTCAAGGGGTTCTGATCTTTAGAAGGGAGAAGGGAGCATGGATACTGGGGGACAAATCGATGTCTCTGCCAAAGTCTGGATTTTGTTTCTGTATCAAGGACTCGCCTAGTCTGCAGAATTTATCTATGAACCTCTCGTTCATTCTTTTGATGTTTGAAGACATACTGTGGGCAAAGCACTGGGGATGCAAAGATCAACAAGAGATAGTCTTTGTACTTGAAGAATGCACAGTCCCAGTGAGGAGAAAGGCCATCAGCAGGCAGTTTTCAAGCAAGGTGCAAGAGCAGTGATAGAAGGGTGTACTTGGCCCCTACCATGGTGATGTGGCGCAGGGAAGCTGAGGAGGGGATGTGGTGTTCAAGCAGGGATTTCTGAAAGAGCTGAGCTTGGAACTGAGCCTACCTATTAGGAACTAGCTAGGTTGAGGCTGAGGTGGGAAGGGGAGGGCTTCTTGGGTAAGGAGGATAGCAGGTAAGGTGGTCGGGTGAGAAGTGGAG